TTGGCGTGATCCTGCAAAAAAGATCGAGAAGTACAGCTCTCATTACTGTAGAAGACACATTAGGCTCTGCCCTCAGACTTCGCGATACACGTCAGCGCGCTGCCTTTGCAATAGCGCTCCAGTGCTATGTACGGGAACGCAACCGTGTGCGGGAATCGATCGACGCCGGCCGCTAGGGTTCTCAGAGAATGTAAGACAGGAGGTAGATGTTGCTTGATCACACGGTCTGGTACTCTCCTACTCTTCCACACTCTCTCAAAACACCTGCAGCCGGCGCCAATCGATACCCATCCGCGGCTGTACTGCCGCCCATATCATTGGAGCGCTACTGCAACGGCTGCGTGTTGACGCGCGTCATCTCGAAGTCGGACGCAATTTCAAGTGTGGGAACCAAAGCTGAACGTGATGCTCGCGAAACAATTATATGGAACAGAATAACCACTTCTCTCTTCGGTGGCTCAATTTTGGCTGCCAAAAACGCCATCGTACTTGTTCCAGCCCATACGGCCGGCAGCGCATATAACACCACGGCTAGACCATGGATCGAATACCTGCAAAATTCGAAGATGATAAAGTTCGGTATAGGGTAGCTAGTGCGGAGGGGGAGGGTGAGAAAAGGCGTCAATGGAAGAGAATCTACCACACCCTCTCGCACTCGTCTGCGTCCTCACGGGCGCTGAAAAGCCGTCTGCGTCCTCTCGACGAGGTAGTGCATCCGCCGAGCACTACTTCGCTGAGAGGACCTTAGGACCTTGAGGACCTTGACTAGTAGAGAATGACTATTTCCCACCGGCTGCCCCACACCTCTCCCCTCCCCCCCCTCCCCGCTGTTTAAGCCAGAATTCATGCGCTGGAGATAGATGAGATACCAGAACAGTGCTCCAGTAAACAATCGTTTAGGATTTACCATGGCATCGCTCCCCAGATTAAGCAGTGTTAATTGTGTCATGGCTAGTGTCACAGCATTCATTGTGACGAACACGATCGCATAGTTGGTAACAGCTGCTTTGTAATCTGCACCTGAAACGAAAGAATGAGCTGCAACAGGGAGTGGCACTTGTGGACCTGCCGCATCAGAAGCTCCTCACACTTATTTAGAATAGAAAGAAACACTGATGTACACTCACTGTCAACACGAAGATGATTTGAAGCTTTAATGAGTGCCGAAAGCGCGATATATCACATTCAGCCCATTTCCTACTGTATCGGTGTAGACCACAACGAAAAGCCCTGAA